AAATCCCGTAGGGCGTGAGGGGCGGGCTTCCCCAAGCCCCTCCCCGGTGGAAGTCCCTTACCCTTGGCCTCAGTCTCTCGTCCCTTTGGCACTACCGCCATGTCTGGTCTAAGAGACGCTGCTTCTCGATTCCCACCCCAAGTGCGAACACATGAGCCCGCTTCCGAGGTCTACACGTCCAAGGACTATCGTCTAGGACATAGGGGACGGAGGAGCAAATAAAAAGTCAGGGTTGGCAGAGCAGCGTTTCCCAAAGCTGTGTCACTCCAAAGGGGCCATGAATGCCCCACGGGGCTGGGGTCCTGTAATGTGCTTTGGGAAGCCCTGAAGGCGGCGTTGAGATAAAATTTGGGTTCAAATTTCAGCTCTGCCGTATGGTGAAGGGGTGACCTTAGCTAGGTGTGTCAGTTTATAAAAACCTCAGGACTATGAGGGGTAGGTCGCGAGCCCACGCCCCCTGCCCCCCATAACATGATTAAGTTTTCTCTGACGTTCAGATATTCATATGTATATATACATTTCATGATACGCATTTATTTCTTGTGCATTTAACAGTCCAGAGGTGGAAGATTCAGGCTTGGTGGCATAGCTGTCGTTCTTAAGCCGAGGTTCCCACCCCTGGGTCCAGAATGGCTGTTCCAGTCTCCACCATCACCAAGCTGACTTGGCTTGCACCTCCAACTTCTAGGGGGCACAGGCTGGGAAGTAAATTGTATCACTCTTGCACACATCCCACTGGCTGCCTTTTCCAGATGGAAATGTGTAGGCAGCTGTGTGCCCTAAAATTTTACTATTTGTGGGTCAAGGAGAGAAAAGCGCAAAGCATGCCACAAGCAGGATAACCTGTGAAACGTCTACTAGAAGCTGTAGCCTTATGGTTGAGACTCGTTTGCCTGCTTCAAATGGCATCCTTACAGTTGTGTGGCCTTGAAGGCACTCCCCTGCTTTGGTTTGCTCACATAAGGTGGGTAAAAACAATGTCTGCCTCTCAGAACTGACCTGATGGTCAAAGAGGTAACATGTAACACGTCATGTGCCAAGAACACCTCTCAGTGGTCAGTGGTCATAGGAGGCTAAGGGCAGGTCAGGCTGGTGGTGCAAAATGGGAGCATAGTCTACTTCTGACACATTGACTTACAGTAGATATCTGCCTGGTAAAGCACTTTTCTCCACATCTTAACTCATTTATTCATTCAACAAATATTTATTTTGCCTCCTGCATGCCAAGCATTGTTCTAATCCCTGAACTTTTGGACTTACATTCCAGTGGGGAAAACAGACAATATGGTCATGTAGTGCTATGGGGTAAAATAAAGCAAGGAAGTTTTGGAGTGCAGTATTGTTTTAAGTAGGGAGGCCAGGGAATGCTTCTCTGAATAAGCGATATTTAATCCCAAGGATGGTCACGATGTGAGCCACACAGATGTCTGAGATGAGGGTTTCAGGGAAGGGACAGATGGGACCCACGGCAGGAGTGGAAAGGGAGAAGATGGTGCCAGACAGCTGGGTGTGGGCAAAGGCAGGTTGGGCCACGCAGGCCATGGAAGATGACTGTTCCTGGGGCTCCAACAGAGCTTGAGGTTCCTGGCCTGTCACGAGCTGACTTAGGCTGCCCCAAAGAAACCCGGGAAGGTCTCCTTGGTACTTAGGGTCGCACTGCCTCCTCTGCACCTAGGCACCATCAATCCTTGACTCAGTGGAATAATTTTCCTGGGGTCTGATCACCCATGAGATTGTATCCTCACGGGAGTGAAGCCCAGATTAGCCTTTGACTCCGGGCCTTCTCACTTCCTGTTGTGAAGACTGGCGGAAGAACCTCAATTTCAGTCTATGCTTCCTTCCTCAACTCCCAGGGAAAAGAGAACAAGTCTGGCCATGAAGAGTGGGTGGCTTAAGCCAGTTTGTGGTGCTGTCCAGTGAAGGCTGCTTGATGTTCAGGAAAAGTTCTTGCCCTGTGCATAACTCGGTGGCCTGCAGGGAGGTTGGGGTGATCGGGGAGACTGCCCCGCCTCGGGCACACCTTTTAACTAGGGCACCCCCCCAAGCCAGCCATCTTCCCTAACCAGAGCACCTTCTCCCCAAATCGGGGACAACCCTCCCCAGAGATATTCTTCGCCTCATCCCGTACTTCCCAACCACGACACTGCCCCCGGCCAGGGCACACCCTCCTAGCGGCGCACCTTTCCTGCTCAGAGCATTCTCCCCCGCAGTGCGGACATGCGCCCTGGCCGGGGCACCGCAGCGCGGGGGCACTCACATTAACTGGAGCACCCCTAACGATGACAACCCTCCCCACTGGGACAGTCCCCTCTGCCCCCGAAGAGCCGCTTTCTCAGTCAGGACGTCGCTCTCAGCCGCGACCCGCCTCCCCACGCCGGGCACATTCCATAACCGAAATACCCCACCCCTCAAGCCGGGGAATTCTCCCCAACCGGACACAGCCCGCAACTGGTGCACCCCTCCCAGCCGGGACACCCCCACCGGGCACCGCCCTAGGACGCAAGTCGGGGTCCGCCTTCTGAGAATGCCGACGGAATCGATGTGTGTCCGGGGTTAGAGGTCAGGGGTCCTTCCCCACCAGGCCAGCCCGCCAGAATGCCTACGCAGAGTGAGAGGCTATCGCGCAAACGGGAGGACCGCCGCAGGACGACGTGCGGCGCCGC